CCCTACTCGCTCCTCACTACTCACTACTCGCCACTCCCTACTCGCCCCTCTTGCGGTCGGGATGGATGGGGATTGGCCGGGGATATTGGGGGGGGGGGGGAACTGCCCGCCGCGCTGTCCCCGCCCACCCACCAGCGCCCAGGGTACCGTTCGCACCATGCATGTCCCGTCTCTTTTCACCTGTGCACATGCATGGTTACAGCCGGCATTCATGTTTCCGCGCAGTACGCTCAACGCCATTCTACTAGACCTTCTTGCACGATCCACCTCGCTTTTCTGGTCGAGCGCAGGCGCAGCGAGGTCCCCACTCCAAAAGAGCATGGTAACTGCACCAACTCCTTATGAGCACGACTGCACCCCTCTGCCTCGCCCCAAAAGAGCAGGTTACCGCGGCCACCTCCGCGCCATGCTCTTTTTGCGCCGCCAGTGGCATTGAGCTCCTGCCTACTTACCTCATCGCAGTTCTCCCAATGTACCCCTTGCGCCGCCTGTGGCTTTCCTCCCCTGCGCGCCCGCCTTCTTCGCAGTGCTCCATCTCACCTTTTAAGCCGAGCGAAGGCGTTGCGACGCCGCCTGTCGCGCCCCGTTTAGACGCGCACCCACCTGCCGACCGACCTCTGCGTCCTCCTGGCTCCACCTCCTGCGTGCTTTTGAAGCCTCCTTTACTTCCTTCCTCCTTCCCTGCGAACAGGGGGTGAACCACCTTTAAGGACTAGAGGCGACCGCTCACTTCTTCTGCCCCCACCATCCTCCCCCTGTGCCCCTTCCTCCCCTTCGTCGTGGCTCTCCCTTCCCTCTGAGCGTTCGCCTGTTGGAATTACGAGCGAAGCCTTTACCGCGCTGGCTGCTCTGTCCAGGCGCCCCATCTCTCCACTCCGATCTAGGTCGTGATGGTACCTCGTTTCTTACATGTTGCCCCCCTCTTTTCCCTACTGCGCCCCCGCTTCCCCGCTGGGCCCAGCCGCGGGGGGGCGGCAGAACAGGTCTGCGCGGCGACGGGGTAACCTGCGTCAGCCGCGAGCGAACGAGGGGGGAGGTGGTGCAGTCTATATGTCTTTCCTTGTTCCCAACCATCCGGTGCCGATGGGTCCTCGTTAGGAAGAGACAGCGCCCCCGCGCCCCATCCCTCCCGCCTCCTCCTCCTCCTCTTCCCTCCCTCCCCCCTCCTCCCTTCGCCCAGTCTCTGCCCCCTGCCTTCATAATGTCTCTGCTTCGGCACGCCCCTCGCACGGTTCGCGGCCCCATGTGGGGGCCCCACCTAAGGTCGCAGTGGCGCAGTTCGCATGGCGCCGCCGCCCCATTGTGGCGCGCGCCTCGCACGCTTCGCGGCCCCATAGGGAGCTCCACCTAACGTCGTAGTGGCGCAGCTCGCATGACGCAGCCGTCCCATTTGGGCACGCTCCTCACGCGTTTCGTGGCCCCACAAGGAGCTCCACGTAAGGTCTCAGTGGCGCAGTTCGCATGGCGCCGCCGCCACATTTGGGCACACCCCTCACACGCTTCGTGGCCCTACTGGGAGCCCCACCTAAGGTCGCAATGGTGTAGTTCGCACGGCGCCGCCGCCACATTTTTGGCCCGCCCCTCACGCGTTTCGTGGCCCCACAGGGAGCTCCACCGAAGATCGCGCACGCTTCGTGGCCCCATAGGGAGCTCCACCTAAGATCCCAATGGCGCAGTTCGCATGGCGCCGCCGCCCCATTTTGGCATACTCGTCACGCGTTCCACGCGTTCCGTGACCCCAGAAGGAGCTCCACCTAGGGTCTCATTGGTGCAGGTTGCATGGCGGCGCCGCCCCATCTGGGCCCGCGCCTCACACGTTTCGTGGCCCCAGAAGGAGCTCCACTGGTTCCACAGGGAGCTCCACTTAGGGTCGCCGTGGCGCAGTTCGCATGGCGCCGCCGCCACATTTGGGCACGCCCCTCACGCGTTTCGTGGCCCCACAGGGAGCTCCACCTAAGGTCGCAGTGGCGCATTTCGCCTGGCGCCGCCGCCTCATTCTGGCACGCCCCTCGCGCGTCTCGTGACCCCACCTAAGGCCCCAGCGGCGCAGTTCGCATGGCGCCGCCGCCGCAGTCTGGCACACCCCATCGCGCGTTTTATGGTTCCACAGGGAGCTCCACCCAGGGTCGCAGTGGCGAAGTTTGCATGGCGCCGCCGCCCCATTTTGGCACACACACACACACACACACACACCCCGCGCACGTTTCGTGGCCCCATAGAAAGCCCCACCTAAGGTCCCAGTGGCGCAGTTCGCATGCCGCCGCCACCCCAGTCTGGCACACCCCTCACACGTTTCATGGTTCCACAGGGAGCTCCACCTAGGGTCGCCGTGGCGCAATTCGCATGGGACGCCGCCCCATTGGGGCGCACCTCGCGCGCGTTTCGTGGTTCCTTAGGGAGCTCCACCTAAGGTCGCAGTGGCGCAGTTCGCATGGCGCCGCCGCCCCATTTTGGCACAGCTCGCACACGTTTCGTGGCCCCTTAGGGAGCTCCACCTCAGGTCCCAGCGGCGCAGTTCGCATGGCGTCGCCGCCCCAGTCTGGCACACCCCTCACGCGTTTCGTGGCCCCAGAGGGAGCCCCACCTAGGATCCCAGTGGCGCAGTTCGCGTGGCGCCGCCGCCCCATTTGGGCACGCCCCTCACGCGTTTCGTGACCCCAGAGGGAGCTCCATCTCAGGCCCCAGTGGCGCAGTTTGCATGGCGCCACCACCCCGTCAACCTCGCTGCAGAATACCGGGCCGCGATGAAGCTCTTCTGCAACGCGCCGCCGCCGCCGCGCTTCGAGCTCCAGACGCCCGACCGCTTCAAGGGCCAAAATGAGGGACCTCATGGCGTTCCTGCGCAAGCGGGGGAGGCAGGCCCCGCGGGCCATCCGGGCCGCGCGGAACGCCGTGCAGCTGCAACCCGACGATCGTAGACTCCAGGAGGAAAAAATCCAGAACGGCCACATGATTGGGTCCCGCTGGGACACCGTGGCGCGCTGGATGAACGCGCGCGCCCAGCGGGGCGCGGACGCCCGGAAGAGGCCCCTCTTCCTCGCGCAGGCCGCCAACCGGTCTGCCCCGACGATGAGCAGGAAGGACGCCGCCAAGATGATGAACTGTGCCAACCCGAAGAACACCGGCGGCGTGCAAGGACTGCCCAGGGTGCGCGCGGGCATGCGGGTCCGGCTCCTGGAGGCGCTGGACCTCCAGAGCGGCCTCGTCAAGGATGCTGAGGGGCAGGTCGTGCACATCGTCGTGGATCCTCTGGGCCGGGGCGATGTCGAGAAAGCCGAGAGAGACGGGGAGAGGGGGGCCTATCTGAAGCACTTGCCGCTGGGGTACTGGGTGCGCGTGGAGAAGTGCGCGGGCGTGCCCTTCGCGCGCGACCTACGCCGCCGCGACGATAGCCTCGCGGGGGGCCTCGCGGGCCCGCTGGTGTCCATCGAGCCTCGCACGCCGGAGCCGGTCACGTTCCGCGCTTCCAAGGTTGCCCGAACAAGCCCCCCGTTCTCGCGCGGCAGGGCCATCGCCGCGGCGGCGTGCCAGGGGCGCGCCACGCGCGAAGGCGACGGGGCGAGGGAACGGCGCCCCCCGGGCAGTCCACGGCCAAAGCTTCTTGGCCTGAGCGGTCCGCAGCCAGACCTTCTCTCGGCCCCGTGGGCCCCCGCCCTGAGCCGTCGGCAGTCCGGCGCGCTGCCCCCCCCGGCCGACGTCGCTCAGGCGTGATCTTGGACTGCGGCCGCCACGAGGTGGGGAACGGCAAAAAGAAGGACGACGATTGGTGGCTGGAGCTCCACGCGCTGCTCTCGCGCGCCACGCGCGACGAGGACCTCCTGCTGATGCGGGCGCCGCGCGTCGAGTTCTTCCTGGCAGGGCCGCCGGGGGGCTTGCGGAAGCAGCTGGAGCAGTCTGCCACGCGCGCGAAGCGGTGCAGGAGGGAGGCGGCGGCCCGCCCCAGGGAGCTGAGCTTCGCCGAGTTTATCCGCGAGGCTTGACCAGAGGAGCGGCCCGCCCGAGCCTCGCCGACTCTCGACGGTCTGACTGTTTGGCCTCGCGCCGCGGGCGACCCGCGCGCGTCGCTGGGACCCTCTCGGGGCGACCAGCGCGCGTCGCGGGAATTTCGCGCTGCGCTCTGCCCAGAGCCTCTCTCGCCGCCGTCGTCGCTCTGCCCAGCGGCCGCAGCCTTGCCCACTATCAGCCAGCCTGCTAGCTCTCTCTGCTCCGCGCAGCGGACGACCCGCGCGCATCGCTGGGACCCTTCCGGGGCGACCGACGCGCGTCGCGGGGGCTCCGTGCGGCGCCGCGCCCGCAACCGTGGACATGGGCGTGCAGGGGCAAAGGGGGGGGGGAAGAACATGAAAAAAGCGGGCGCGATCCTCGTGAGGAGTGTGCCGACATGGGGGCGTCGCGGCGTGCGGGCGCCGCTGTGGGGGTTCCGGAGGAAGCTTCCTGCGGCGGCCACGCTCAGTGTCACGAGTACTTTGGGTCAGGCATACGTGAACCGTTCACATTCGTGCGCGTGTATACATTTATATACATATATATACATATATATAGGTATATATATATATATGTATATATATATATATATATATATATATATGTATATGTATATGTATATGTATATGTATATGTATATGTATATGTAAATGTATATGTATATGTATTTGTATATATATATATATATATATGTATATATGTATGTAAACAGATACACATACAGGATGTATATAAATATATGTGTGTATGTGTGTATATATATATGTACACCAGGCGTGACCATGCTCGCAGTCATGCAAATATACTCACTCGCGCGCAGACTCAGTCACACTCAAACTCACTCGCGCTCAGACTCACCACCCGCGCTCATGAAGTCTCTCGCAAGTCGACCTATCGTCTTCGTTCGTGTTGTGAACCCCGCTACGCAATTCGGCGCACACCTCATACGGTCGTGGCCCGACAGGGAGCGCCACCGAAGAAGAAATTCACAAATACGGTGCTCACAACTGCATATGGTTGGGTCCTTCGCCAAGCTAATTTCTCCCCGCAGCCTCGAGGCGAGCAGCTCGCCCGTCCAGCCCCCTGGCACTGCCGCGCTCAGGCCGGGTCCAGGCCGTCCGCCGCGACCTCGAACGCGAAGCCGAAGGCGACCTGGGAAGGCGGCGGGGCCTGCGAACGCCTCAGGCGTGGCCGCCTCCGCCGCCTTGCGGAGGGGCAGCCCGCTGCCGCTCCGCGCGCGCACCGCTCCGCTAGCCGCCGCCGCCGACGAGGCGCGCCACGATGGGCCCCACCACGCCCAGCGCCCTGCGGAGCTCATTGGGGTCGCTCGGGGGCTCGGCCTGAGCGGAGGGCCGCCCGACCGCCGCGAGGGCTGCGCCGAACCTGACGCAGAAGGACTCCACGTCGCCGTCGCCACCGCCCGGGGAACCGCCCGCGGACCCAGCAGCCGCCTGCGCAGCCTCCGCGGCAGGCGGGTCCGAGCCCGCGCCCGCCACTCCAGCCGCCGCCACCGGCTGCCACTGCCCCCACGCGCGGCATCGCCGCGCCCTGGAAGCTGAAGTCGGCGAGCTCGTCGTTGGAGGGGCCCCCGAAGGCATCGGGGCCGTCGATCGCCATGGGCTCGACCATGTCCGAAGGATCACCCGCCTCCGCCGCCGCCGCTGCCGCCACGCCGCGCTCCAAGGCGCGCGTCCCAGCAAGGCGAGTGCGCCGACGGCGGTGCCGCTCGCGCTGCGCGTCCGTCGTCGCCCTCCTGCTGTCGTCGCCAGGCTCCTCAGCCCCCGAAACAGCCCCCGCAGCGGGCGGCGGGCGCGCAACGGCCGAGGCCGCCGCCGCCACCGCCGCGCGACTGACTGCGCCCAGCGAACGCCGAGGCGCCCCAGCGCACTGCGCCGCGCGAGCGGCCGCGTCCACCAGGGCGGCGGCCTCTGCAGCGCTGATGGCCCCTCTAAGCGCCGCCATCGTCGGACCCGACGCTCCACCCGAGGCGGCCGTCCCCGACGACGGCAACAGCCGTGCGGTCGCTTAAGCCAAAATGCTCGGCTTGAACCACAATTGCTACGGAGTATATCTGTCCGTAGAAAGGAGAACCCATGAGTTGCACGCTGACGGAAACAGTCTATGAGGTGAAAGCTACGCCGACCACGAAACGGCGACGGGCGCCCACCGAGCGAAATCCCGGGGAACCCAGCAAGCGCAAGGGGCGCCTATCCGGGGAACCCACTGAACCACCTGGAGGACAAATAAGAACCTCTTAATGCAAACACTGCTTTGGAACATGCTAGAACCTCTCACGCGCAACATCTGGCTGGCACCTCGGACAAGCATGTTCACCGTTACGATCGATGATTACCAAACTTCCCTCGTGAAACCGCGAGCACCTCCAACGCGAAGCGCTCCCTCTGCACAGCGGGGGACCAACGTACCAGAAGTGTGCAATAACGTCTGGCGCTCCGAGGCGGAATCTCAAGGACCTCCCGCGCGAGGCGCTGGTGGAGAAAGGAACTCCCTCGCCCAGTGTGAGGCCATCAATCGCGCCTCCTGTCCCGCCTGCTACAAATCACCGGGGGCCACGTCCCCTGCCTCCGCCTACTATAACTACACATGGCCGCAAGGGTGACCTTCTCCCTCCGCTTTGTGTCTGGACACGAGCAAGAAGTAGTCGATGATCGTGGGCTTGCGCGTTTCATCCGAGGACTTCGATGCCTCCTTCGGGGTGCTGGACGCGAGCCTGGCGGAAGCCGCAGCGACCGCATCTGCCTGCTCCTTGTTCACGATGTCCTTCCACGACCTCGTAATGGGGCGAATCTGTCTCTTCCTCCGCCGCCTCCTTCACGTCGTAGTCGTCGTCGTCCTCGTCCTCCTCCTCCTCACTATTCCTTCACAATTACTCAATATGAATACTACTCTCCCTCTTCCCCTGATGACGGTTTGAAGGTGTCCGACCCCCCCCGCGTACTGTTCTTTTACACGCAGGTTTCCCCGGAGTTGGGTGTTCGCCTGCATTTGTTTTCAAAATGTTGCTCTCGCTGAGGCGCCGGCCTCATTTTCGGGCCCCGCTTGTTCCGAATCGTGCTCCCGCTGCAGCGCTGGCCTCATTTCCGTGTTTCCGCTCGTTCCGGATCGTGCTCCCGCTGCAGCGCTGGCCTCATTTCCGCGCTTCCGCTCGTTTCGACTCGTGCTCCCGCTGCAGCGCTCGCGTCATTTCCCGTGCCATGTCATGGCGTGCAATGCAATGCTAGGTTGATGCTACGCTTTGCGGTGCTCTTCTACGCCATGCCATGCCGTGTTCTACAATGCATCGCGTACCCTTTCGGGATCATTGGCCTGCTCGACATCCGACCGTGCGAGTAGAAAGGGGATCTGCGCCATGGTAAGGGATGGGAGGGAGGGGTAGGATGTCAGATACGACGCGAACGCACCTAGCTTGTCTCTCCCCCTCCCCCTCCTCCTCATAATTATCCTTTTTTTTCTCATCATCCTCCCTGTTTTCCTCCTCCTCCTTTTCCTCCTTCTTCTCCTCCTTCTCTTCTCCTCCTCTTCCACCTCCTCCTCCTCCTCCTTCCCCAACGTCAACCCCTGGATCCCAATTCTGGCCAGACTTCCGATGGGAATGCAAGCCTGTCGACGAGAGCGCCCCCGAAAGGCCCGAAACGGAACGAAGCGCGTCCGAAGACCTCTAACCAAGAAGCTCGAACCTCGAAGGCTCCCAGAGCGCTCATACGGGATGGATCCTCCATTAGCGAAATGATCCACCAAAGAAATAATAGAGACGGCCCTCACGGGTCTCCTCTTCCTCGTGATCCTCGTACCTTCCGCTTGCTCTTTCTCTCAATCCATCTCCTCGAAGTGTTGCGTTCTGGACAGACCTTTGAGGGGACTTTAGCAGTTGCGACAATGACAGCCCGAGGTTCAGGAAGGGGCGAAAACAGTCCGACCCCCCCGAACCTCGAAGTTCGAGCCTTGATTCTCCTCTACATGAAGACCAATCTCCTCTAGATAAGAGCCATAAGAAAAAACACACACACACAAAGGATTTTCACACGAAGGGTTTTGGCACCACCAGCGGTGCAACGCATGTGCACACATGCGACTGGATCCCCAGCGATCCAAACCAGGGTTGATGCACGGCCGCGCTCTAGGATGCAGTTGACACGCATGGTGTGGCAAGGCTGTCGGCGGCGACAAGATCCCCAAATCCGCTACCAACGAACATTCCATGGTGGTTTGGCACAGCCAAACCACCGTGCAACTTCAGTTTGTTCATCCGTTGACAGCAGCACGCGTCGCGGCAGCAGAACGCAGTAGCGCGCGCGGGCATACAGGGCCGGCGATGTGGCTGGCCAGCTGCCAGCGCGACTTCGGCAGAAAAGCCGAAATCCACGCAGGATCGTTTTGGGCGTGGTATCCGGCGCAGCTGCATCGCACTGCCAGGCGCCGCGGCCTTGTGATTGTAGCGCCAGGCCCGGTGCGCTCCTCGAGGCGGGAACGCAAGCTCCACGCAAAGAAATCGCGCGTGCTCTTGTGGGGGCGGCGAAAACGATCGCACACAAGGAATACCCCCGCGTTGGCAGTGCAACCAGACCGCACACAAAGGAATTACACGAGACTTCGTAGCACACAAATGAATTACAGCAACGCCCTTTGGGTTGCGCTCTTCGCGCGCGGTGACAGCTCCGAACTGGAAACGAAGGGGGGCGGGAGAAGGCAAAGCAGGGGTGGAAGAAAAAGAAGAGGAGGGCGAGAAAGAAGCGAAAGAAGCAACGGAAGGAAGCCACGATGCGCGCAAGCGAAGCTAACGCTGCGCGCCGAGACAGTTGTTCGTTCGTTCGGTTGGCCGTGCGGCTGATGAACAGAACAAGAATTGTTTGCTGCCTATCGAGGGGGTTTCTTGGGAATGAGACTCGCGCTCTCTTCCCAACCCCCTTTTCCCAGACCCCGTTGCGAGCGCGCGACGATTTGTTCTGGCCCGCGGGAAGAGGACTGCCAGTTGCTGGCGAGCGGCCTTTCCACCCGTCACGCGTTCCGAGCGCATGCGACCAGCTAAACGCACTTGCCACGCAAACCGCCAGTTCCAGAGACCGACGCCACACCGATTCCCGCACCCGTGCCGGGCACCCTCTCAACGACGCCCCCTTCTGGCGTAAAACCAATAAAACTCTTTGTGTTTATATGTTTTTTCCCTGTTACGACTGAAGACACATGTGTATAACCATATGTATTCTCTTTCTGCTGCTGCTGCTGCTGCTCCTCCTCCTCCTCCTCCTCCTCCTCCTTCTCCCCCCCTCTTGTGGACGACGGCCCATCGACATAGCAAACATAAACTTCCAGGGGTCCGCGCAGATTTCTTGGATTGGTGCTGGACCCCCTCCCTGGCGCGCCAGAAGGGTTCCAACGCCGGCCCAAGACATCCGCGCCGACCTCCGACAATTTATGCACGTTGAGCATCGCTTGAACGATCCCAATCCACACTGTCATTGCCTTGGCCCCACGGGCCGCCTTACCCCCTGCGTGGGGAGCCTGGCCCGCCCCCCCCGACGTCATGCTGATGCCTCCCCCCCGCCCCCCGCGATGTGCCCGCCCCTCCCACTGTGGGCGTGGCGACGTGGTGGGGGCCCCTCCGATGGATCCGAGGGAGGTCGTACCCCGTCGTCGTCGTCATCGTCGTCGCCGTCGTCCCACCTAAAGGCGGGGCCCGAGGGGCCCTGGGACCCAGGACCCGGCACATCTTGGGGGGGCGGAGCCGTTGGCCCCGACCGAACCCACGATCATATGTGGTCAAATGTCCGCCTCCCCCCCCCCACACAAAGCTACCCTTCCCTCGGTGGGTTCCCTCCCCCAGTGGGCGTGGTGCGGTGTGGTGCCCGCCTCTCCGCAAGTATGGTAGTCGGTATGGGGGCCGCCAAGTGAGGTCCCACGGTCGGTCGTCGTCGTCGTCGTCGTCGTCGTCGTCGTCGTCGTTGCCGTCGTCGGTCGTCGTCGTCGTCGTCGTCGTCGTCGTCGTCGTCGTCGTCGTCGTCGTCGTCGTCGTCGTCGTCGTCGTAGTCGACGTCGTCGTCGTCCTTCTGGTCGTCGTCTTCGTTTCCCCCTGCCTCTCTCCCTTCAGGCAAGGATAAGACGGAAGGTGCTCGTCCTCGTCCTCGTCGTCGCCCCGCCACCACCCCATTTTTGTTGGGGGGGGGGGGCGCGGGGCCCTGAGACCGATCCCATTTTGGGAGGGTGGGGCGGCGGGCCAAAACTTGGGGACATACAAGCTGTGCCATTCGGGTCTCGCCCCGTCCTCAAACATGCGATGTCTTGATGTGTTAAGCGCGGGGTCCTCGGAAACCCCGACCTTTTCCACAGTCCTGTGTTTCACCTCGAATCGTTGTTGGGGCCCGGCAGTGGGTACTATGTGCAGATTCGGATTCGACCTCGCCAGCCCTGCGGGACTGCGAAATGCGAGCGCGTCGCCACATTCGAAGGTTGCTGGGGGGCCCAGCATAGTGTACCAGGTGCAGATTCAAACTAGACCTCGCCATCCAAAGGGGGCTGCGAACTGCGAGGCTGTCGCCACTCTCGAGGGATGCTGAGGGGCCAACGCAGTGCGTGCTCCGTTGGTAGAGGAAAGGAGGGAAAGATATACATCTTTTCGATCTAATCCAATACCTGAGCCCAAACGGCCAGGCGCAGGAGAGTGAGGATAAGGAGGATATATGAGGGTATTATACGGGTTCTATTCACACCCCCCGTCCCGAATCCCGCCCGCAAGGGCAGGACTCGGAAACATGAGAAAAGAACCGGTCGCCCCTCTACTCCTCCAATCCTCAGCGCTGGAAGGCAGCTGAGCGTAAAAGCTGTATCGCATCAGCTGCGTCCCGATCACGACAGCAGTGTGCAAAATTGGAACGTAGCACAACAGCTGGCATGATCAGGCAAGTAAGGAAAAGAAAGAACACCCAGGGCCCCTGTTTCTTCGCCAAGCACACTTTGGTGCCCCCATCGGCGCGCCCCCCCCAAAACGCTTCGGCACTCGTGGGCGGAGAAGAATGAGGCGCGGGTGGGCGGAGCAAGAGGATCTGAGCACATTGAAACAACATCAGAAGCTGCCGCGTCTGCACGCGGCAGGTGTTGCCACCAGCTTTCAGACCAAAGCTGGGCAACAGATCGTTCTCGACGCAAAGTTATCTCAAACTATATTGTCTAGATTCAGCAAAAAGAATGTAGTACCAAGTCGTGCTGGGAAACGCGATCGCGTTAAGAAGCACGTCTAATATCAAAGCAAATGTCTGGCCAGACGTAGAGTCGTGTTGATAAGCGCGAAAAACTGCACTAACAAATTCTGTAATTAGTTACTCCCCTCGGCGATGCTCCTTAGGAGTCTGCCTTGGGTTTCACACGGTATGTGTGAGTGGCCGCTTTTCTTGCATAGTGAAGTGGCCAAATATTATATAAGTATGTACTGCTCGAGGCGAACTTTTGCAAAGATGAAGTTCAAGCCAATCGAGCAGTGGGCCTTGCGGCCAACAAAACTACGAAGTGCCTCTCACGTAGAACCTGTGGTCCCACACCCTGTGGCCATCAGTCCCGACGAAGCTCGTCGCATATGTCGCCCAAGCTGTACTTGGGGTCCAGTTGCGGAACCGATCGTTGTACTGCGAGTCGCGGATGTATACGAACTCGTCATTGTTCTCCGCGATGTGAATCCAGCACTTGATGTAGTAGCTCCAGCACCTTGGGCCCCATGGGCTGTCCTCAAGGTTGTGGCGCCACCGCGTTGCGTAGTCCTCTGTCGTGCGCGCCCGCTTGGCG